TATAAATATTTATATATAATATTATATAGCTGTTTGTGTACCTCCCAGTCTCTCTTACGGACTTCGCGCTCCAAATCCCATTTCTGTTCTTCGCAAATATACATTCGGTCGTAATACTCTTTACAAATCCTCTTAAGTCTGTCTACAACCGGAAACGGAACAATAAACAAATTGACAAAACAGCAACATCATCATCATCATTATCACTTTTACCATAAAATTGCTACCTGTTATTTATTGTTTGTTTACGAATTATTTCCGATCATTCAATTAACAAAAAAAATGCACCTGTCCACTTTTACATTTTAGTTGTAACAAATACTTTAGAAAGTATAAATTCAGATAAAAAAACTAGTGGCAGTAAAATTTTTACCAGTTGTTTGTTGGTTCTAAAATGTAAAAGTGACAAAGCCGTAGGTATTAAGTATCTACGGAAAAACAAATTAACGATAAAAGTTATTCCGAAAAATTTAAATGAATGTGGCACCCATATCGCTTAATTTTTTTTTAACATGATGCCCCACGACGACATTGAAACTTAAAAGTTCTCAACATCTTAGACCATACAAAGGAACAGTGATGTAAATTTAATGTAAAAAAAAAATCAATCTCCTCTTTTAGGGTTCCGTACATCCGAATGAAAAATGGAACCCTTATAAGATCACTCGTGTGTTTATCTATCTGCCCGTCTGTCACACACAATTTTCTCTTGAAATTTAGCACAGAACATAGGGGTCATTTTTGGGAGGCCAAGAAGAAATTTAAAAAAAAAAATTGCAACCTCAAATAAAAATTGGTGACAGATTCGTGTTTAATTCTATCACTTTTAGAAGTTATTATTTATCAATGTGTTTCACACACGTTGCACTATTAAAAATCTTAATTCAACAAGTATTTGTTACGAATTTCTTTAATGTTTTGGCCTGAGGTCGCCGTGGGACTATGTATGGACAAATCGTTTCATATTAAAAGTTATAGGATGTTTATTAAAAACAAAACTGAAAAGAAATAATAGTAAAAGTAAGGGTAAGATAAGGTAATTAGCGATAGTGATAACGGAGGGTAGATTTAAGGAGAACTATTGCAATAGTGAAAAACCTTTCATGAATTTGAATACAATTCCGTAGAATTCTTCAAAAGTATGTGTATGGCAATCGCTCTCCTTGAATCTACCCTTTGTTGTATAAAAGTAAAATAAAGCGATATGTTTTTGCCACTGTTTTTTACAATTTATTGTCTTATTGTACTTGAGTTTGAATTGCCATCTAAAAGAAGATCATGCAAAATATCGAAATAATACGTACATGCACATCTATGATACCATTGCAAATATTTTTATACGTGTGTGGTATATAATTGAGAAATAGTATATTGCGTACCAAGGGAAGAAAGTATGGCATTCCTTCCGGGGTGTGAATTAGCACCCGAACCGAAGGCGAGGACGGGAAAGTCCTTAAAAGAGTGGTGGTACGATTTTTTTTTGTACCTCTGCCCCAAAAGTACAATTTTCCCGATTTTAAGGATAAAAACATAGCATACCTTGCTTTAGTCCTTGTTAGAAAAGGATTTTAGCATTCACCGCGTGAAAATTGTCACTCGAGCCTAAAGCGAGGGTTGAAATTTCGCCCTACTGAAAGTAGGATACTTTTTTTACCATCCATCGACTAGGGTGACTATTTTCATGCGAAGGGTTTTAAAATACTTTCGTACTACAGCGTAAATGCGTTTCCTTTGTTAGAAGGTCATGTTGTACATTTTCATCCCTAAAATCAGGAAAAATCGTACTTTCGGGACAGAGGCATAGTAAAAAATCGCCTATGAACTTCGGGAACCCGAAAGGAAATGCTATATTTCCTTACCGTGGTGTGTAGTATACTGTTTTTGTCTGATGTACATAAGTATAATTGTGAATGTTTTGCATATTGTTGGTACGTATTTTGTTCATGTTCTGTAGAATATAATATATTACGTATGTATGTATATAAAGCACCGTTGCAGATCTAGTTTACTAAAAATTATGTACAATATTTTAAAACGTCCTCTACGTCAGGAAAGGAGAACGCAACTAGTAAAAAAAATATCTAAATTAATAACTTTCTACTACTTGGAGGCCAAAGGAAATAAAATAATAACAACAATAATAAAGAAACAAAAAAAGAAAAGAAAAATTGTTCGTTTTTCTTTCGTTTTAAACGACCAGTAGATTGAAAGGTAGCCAAACAATCAGTCAATAAATAATAATAATAATAATAATAATAAATGCGTATGAGATATTAACAACGTCCGATACCTCGTGCGCTTTAATTTTTTCTTGCCATTCAAGATCAAATTTATCCCCTTCAAGCTGATATATTCTTTGAAAGTAAGACTGGCATATTGTTTGAAGCTCAGCTAAAAGAAATATACACAGTGTTAACACAGAAGGTACGGGACACAAAATCACTTGGGAATCTCAAAATTTCGTTGTGGCACTTTTAACGAAATCAGTTTTCGATTTTCATTAATTACGAACTATCGTTTTAATTGTTAGACACGATTTAAAAACATGGTATTATTATTATTCGTTTACTACAATAATCTTCCTTTTTCAACTCCCATTCTCCTTTTAATCGTGAACAATATTGTTCAGGGCACGCACTTATAAACTTTTCAAGTCATTTTTATTATAGATTAGTCGCGAATTTTCATCTATTTCGGTGATTAAAGTTACACTTTTCTGTTCTTTGGCATCTCACGCTATTAAGTGTACAGAGAGATTCATGAAGAATTTTTAACCTTGAAAAAAGTACAGTCTTTTAGCATAAATGGTGAATCAGCATGAAGTTAGCTGTTGACTGATCGCTGAAGCTCTCCAAATATCTATCGCTCCACATCTAACTTCATACTAGTTCACCATTACCTTGGGTCTCATACATATTCTTAATCAATCTCCCTGTATCCTGTATAATATTTGTTTTTCATGCGAATAAACTGATGTTAGATTGTCTTCTTTAGAAAAAGAGTGGTGATGATTGAATTGACAAGAATTTGGAAACTACAAGAGGAGTAGTAAGTATAGCACAACAGTTTCTACTCAAAAATAAAGTAAACTATAACGTGAGGCATAGCAAAGCTGATACAGTGCAATATTTAAGGAGAAGGGGGAGTTTTTTATGAATATAAAATGTTTATTTACAAAAGATAGTAATAACTAATAATAAGTAATAATACAGCCGAGGGATGTAGATAGGCTAAAATTGTTTAATTCGTTTTAATTTTTTATGCAAAAAAAAACTAGGTCAAGCATGTGCTTCGAAGCAACGCTGTGCTACTTTTTAGCCACTTAATAATTATTAAATAATGGTGACATGCGACATATCCCATTTTTATACCTGGAGGTCTCGGAATTCGACATCCTTCTCTACATCATATTTCTTATTTTCCAGTTCTATCACACGTTTGTAATATTGTTCGCAGAGAGATTTTAAACTGGCTAAAATATTAAGGGGTCCGTAAGCTCTATGCATTTACGCACAACATTTCTATAGAATCTACTCAACCTCTAATTGTTATTATTCAATTAATTTATTCCTAAAGAGTTGCCCAAGTAGGCCACAGCATAGAGATTTTTATAAAACTGTGTATCCACGGGTTTATTTATTATGTATTTAAACAATATCGCATTACAATATTGCTTCTACTAAAAATAATCGTAAAGCGGCGACCGCCGNATCTATTCGTGGGTTTGTAAGGGAGCGAAGCCTTCTCACCGAAAATTAATATTTGTTCACGGTATACGGTGGTTTAGTGATGTTCACACTATCGATTGTCACTTTATTTCTGTTATGAAACATTTTTTAGTACAAAATTTAGAGATTCTAGAACACGAAAATGGCTCACTTAGTCAGTATTAAAATTTGTATTTTTTGAAAAAGGCAGCGGTATCTTCTAACAATTTATAAAAAATCTGTGAGGCCGTAGAGCAGAGGATAACCCATTTAGCCGGACTATCTTTTTCCATTCTCTTTAAAAATTTGTTTGTTTATGATGTATTTTATGACACCGCTTCTTTCTATCTTTTTCTGCATTAATGATAATTAATTTTAATAGCAATAAAAATTACCAGATTCGAAAAAACAACTTATTATTTTAAAGTTGCCCAAACTGCTCCCCAACAAATGTTTAGATAAAATAGCTACTAATGCTTTTTGCCTGTACTTGGTGCGTATTTTTACTGAATTTAGTTACTTACCCTCAGTTTCTTCTTTCTCTCCGGTGTCATGAAACCCTTCTTGGCCTTCTTTGCCTTGGAGGCCTCTTCCATACGAGCTCGGACCTCGGCCCTTTTGCGCTCGATTTCGGCCTGCTTCTTCTTCTTTTCCTATATTTTCAGTGTAAAATGTGTTAGCATTTATGCAAGTGTTTACCTTTATCAAATTTTCTATTGGATTAAACAAAAACTGAAATACCTATATATATATATCTATCTCTACACATTTTGAACACTATTTTAGACAATTAGGTTACTATTCATTTTGATTTTTCAAACTTTTAAAAGGTTAAATTAAAAATAGCAATTTTTTTTTCATTCTACCAAAAAATGTTTTTTGTTTTTTGTTATTGTAGTGGTCAGTTGGGAAATACTTTTCATTACTTGCCTCCTCCAAACGCTTTCTCTAGAAAAACAAAATCATTTAATTAATATGGGAAATTAGGTAAATTAATTTACTGTGTTATTTAGAAAAACAAAGGTACTTAATGTTTGCTGATAGTGTGTAAAAGTTATTAGTAACTGACTTGAAAGATCAAAAGTTCAAGTGATTTGTTAAAAAAATATATATGAGCTATTGTGTTTGTATATTTAAGTATACTCAAATTGTGGAGATGATCAATTTAAACTAGTGTTAATTAGCATGCAAAATACTGAAGCGATACATGATTAGTATTTTTTTTAATAATCATTTATATATGTTATTGATATTATTATAAGTATTATAAAAAACTTTACCTGTACATCTGTTCTTTACCTTCATTTGTGATAAATAGTTAAGGCAAATGCAAAACTAAGCAAAACTATAAATACTAACTTCTACAAAACTACAGAAGAATGTAAATAGGTACTAGATATAGGTACTTAGAAAGCGTTGAAGATACATTACATTTCCTATAGAAATGTATTCTAACGATTGCAAAGAAGATTCGATAGCTGTAAAAGAATCTAAAAAACTATCAAATTTAAGCATCTACTTTTGTACAACAATTGTTTAACTACTACTGAATAATCGATCAACTAATTGCATAAGTACCTTTGTTTTTAATATTTTTGTTTAAGTAGATGTTCATACTGCAGATTCCAAGTGAATTGAGTAATCCCACGATGACCACAAGATAAGAAATGAAAAAAAGAAGAAAATCAAAATTAGTTCACTTCAAAAGATGTAGGTAATATTAGATATAATATTTCTACAAAATAAAATTCAAACAAGGGCCTTCTCAAGAATGTAATTTTTGGTCATATTATTTTTAGACATTTTTAAAGTTACTACGTGAAAGATCAATAGGTGTTTGCTCCAAATTGATTAAAAATAGATTACACGGTCTTAAAATAATTTGAGTGATGATTAGAAAACCCAATTAAGTGAACCAGAAATTTTACTATCATTGCTATCGATCTGAAATCATTAATAATCGTATTAAATTAATCACTTACCAAACCTCATCGTCCGCCATGACTGTATAGTGTTGTTTACTGTCCTGAAAAACAGAAAATAATGAGTATTTTCGTTATTACAGCAAGACCCGAAATTTCATTTGCGGCATCCGCGGTCTAAGTTTAGAAAGCTATGCATGTTGGAACTTTGCCAAAGTGACTTGGTCACGGCGCGCAAGCGACGATACCCGTCCAAATTTGGCATCAAACAGTTATCTCAAGTTACAGTATTCCAAAATACCTTAAACTCTACAATTATGGACAATTTCTTTCGTTAAAACTAATTTTGAATACGTGTGATTCCTTCCAATTTATAATAACCACCATATCGGAACAGCGGTAATGTCATTAAAATTAGTTTATCTACAATAATTATCTGACGTGGTCATAATCTTCAACAAAATATTCAGTTCTATATTTGTCCAACATTTATTTAAAATATATGCTGCAAGTAATAAAACTCCTAAACAATATATCTTGATGACGCAAACGAGAGATAGTTTAAATTTAGACTTGGGGAGAATTGGATATTTTAAATCAGGTATGAAGCTAGAAGATTTGGATTGCACTAAGTACACAGATATATATATCTAACAAATAAAAATTAATTAATGTATGAGCCGATTGTGAAAAATTCTTCGTTTCTTCAATAGCAAAAGCATTGGTAAACATTTACACAAGACAGATTGGTTTTGAAGACTGGAGAAATGCTTTGTCAGCGTACAGATTGGTACAGATGAAGAAAAGAAAACACATAGTACGTGAATGCTGCCCCATGATGGTAAAATCGAACGATAAAAAAAAAATTTTTCGCAAAAAAGTTGTATTATGTAAAAAGAGCCATAAGAAGGCAAAAAACACAAGAAAAAAGAGTAAAGTTGCAGTCTGCACCGTCAAAAAAAAAGAAAAAAACGGATTCGTAGTTCGTGCAACGAAAACCATTTCTTTTTAGCAAAAATAGTTAAAAAAAAGCGTTGTCATCAGAGCAGCGAAAAAAGAAAAAACCCGATCGTGCAATATTTTGGTTGTTTCTTTTAACGAAATCTAACCTCATAATCTTTTCTTTTGACCTCGTATTCCAGGTCAAACTTCTGTTCTTCCAATCTGACGATTCTTTCGTGATATGACCTGGCGACACTTTTAAGGAGTTCTGCATAAAAAATAATCACAAAAAGAAAAACAAAATTACAACTGACAACGGCACTAAAAGGATAAACTTTACTTACACAAACAACAAATTATTAGACACACAAAGGACCAGAGCTAGAGCTTAAAACATATTTTCGCTTTTTTTTTTGTTCCTGCAGTTTCGTTTTCGTTTATAAATTTTTATCCCACAAATTTTGAGTCGAGTCCCTAATTTTAAATTATTTTTGATTTTGTTAGTTAGATACTCGAGAAAAATCCACCAAGATCAAATCACTTTTAGAAGTCGTATTCTTTTTTTTTTGTTAAAACCTCCAAAAACATCTATGTATATTACCTATATGTACGTAAGTAGGTTTATAATTGTTTACCGAAAATTATTGTCCTTCCAATAAGGAGGTCTGTTGTAATTTGAAATTAAAACAAAAATCTGCAAAATACCTTCATTAGCGTCATCGAGGGGTTTGGGCTTGCCACAACGTTCTTCAATGATACGTCTACGTTCAGCCGCCTTGCGTTCTTGTTCCTTTTTCAGTTCTTCGGCGGCTTTTTTTCTCAGCAGCAACTAAAATAAATATTAAAATATCTATAAATTACATTACCTATCAAAACTTTTTCTATCTATTCGTGGGTTTGTAAGGGAGCGAAGCCTTCTCACCGAAAATTAATATTTGTTCACAGNGTTATTATTCAATTAATTTATTCCTAAAGAGTTGCCCAAGTAGGCCACAGCATAGAGATTTTTATAAAACTGTGTATCCACGGGTTTATTTATTATGTATTTAAACAATATCGCATTACAATATTGCTTCTACTAAAAATAATCGTAAAGCGGCGACCGCCGAGACCAGAGCACCAACTCTGCACCTACTCTCGCAATAGTCATAACTTCATACTAAGAAGACTGGATACAGAAGTAGTTCGGGTTAAATTTTTGCTTCTATCCCTGGTCTTCTTGACTCTAACATCAAAAAGCTCAATGCTTTTCTGATTACGCATTGTCTTGAATGTATTTTAGTGCTTTTTTGTGTTTTTGTAAAAAACAATCGTTGTTAAAGCTTCCTGATATCTTTTTGAATTACCGCAAAAAGTAAAGGCAAATTTAAAAATGAATAACTCCTTGCATACACAGTCTTTTTAGAAACCTCTTTCGCCTATGTTTTATAACGACAACTCCCTAAAATCCTCTCGAAAGTACTTTTTCTGCGGCTAAATATTTCTCAATTACCAACAGTTGCTTTTATAATCACGATTCTGTAAAGGACTCTGCTAGATCCTTAAGGAAAATGGCCCTTTGTCAAACTCTTCGAAAGTTTGGATTGTGGTAGTTCTCTATGTGTAGAAAACTCAACATTTTGAGATATAGTCACTTAAAGATACGGAAGAATGCAACATTAAGGAACCATATCTCAAAGAGAAGAGTTCTTATGGCTTAGCGTCCGTTGAGACCGTTTATCTACATGTCCAGAACTACCGAAATCCAAAGTTTCAAAAAATTTAACAGCGGACTATTTTCCATAAGGATCTAGCGGAGTCCTTTACTGAAGTACCCGGAGATTAAAGTGATTAAAAATTGTTATATTCTTTGAAAATAGATAGGTACATGGTACATAGGTTTATTTATTTCTGATCGTAAGTGAAATTTTTAATAATCGATATATTTTTTATTAATTGAAAATCTTAATAAGGTATTTGTGGTGCATCCTTGAAGGAACATTTTTAAATAGCCAAATAAAAAGTGGACTAAAATTACTTTAAAACAGTAAACAGAAGTTACTGTTATTGTCCTTGTTCACTCGATTATTGTCTCATCGAAACAATAGTAAGTCTTTCTTTAAACAATTGTTGAATCTAATTTTATTTGGTTATTTAAAAAATTTCTTTTTTCGGACTACAGTTGTAAATTTCGATAGACTGTAACGAACTGTAGAAAGTATTTCGTAAAAGAACCTGCATTTTATAAGATTTGGATTGCACTAAGTACACAGATATATATATCTAACAAATAAAAATTAATTAATGTANAAAGGTACTTAATGTTTGCTGATAGTGTGTAAAAGTTATTAGTAACTGACTTGAAAGATCAAAAGTTCAAGTGATTTGTTAAAAAAATATATATGAGCTATTGTGTTTGTATATTTAAGTATACTCAAATTGTGGAGATGATCAATTTAAACTAGTGTTAATTAGCATGCAAAATACTGAAGCGATACATGATTAGTATTTTTTTTAATAATCATTTATATATGTTATTGATATTATTATAAGTATTATAAAAAACTTTACCTGTACATCTGTTCTTTACCTTCATTTGTGATAAATAGTTAAGGCAAATGCAAAACTAAGCAAAACTATAAATACTAACTTCTACAAAACTACAGAAGAATGTAAATAGGTACTAGATATAGGTACTTAGAAAGCGTTGAAGATACATTACATTTCCTATAGAAATGTATTCTAACGATTGCAAAGAAGATTCGATAGCTGTAAAAGAATCTAAAAAACTATCAAATTTAAGCATCTACTTTTGTACAACAATTGTTTAACTACTACTGAATAATCGATCAACTAATTGCATAAGTACCTTTGTTTTTAATATTTTTGTTTAAGTAGATGTTCATACTGCAGATTCCAAGTGAATTGAGTAATCCCACGATGACCACAAGATAAGAAATGAAAAAAAGAAGAAAATCAAAATTAGTTCACTTCAAAAGATGTAGGTAATATTAGATATAATATTTCTACAAAATAAAATTCAAACAAGGGCCTTCTCAAGAATGTAATTTTTGGTCATATTATTTTTAGACATTTTTAAAGTTACTACGTGAAAGATCAATAGGTGTTTGCTCCAAATTGATTAAAAATAGATTACACGGTCTTAAAATAATTTGAGTGATGATTAGAAAACCCAATTAAGTGAACCAGAAATTTTACTATCATTGCTATCGATCTGAAATCATTAATAATCGTATTAAATTAATCACTTACCAAACCTCATCGTCCGCCATGACTGTATAGTGTTGTTTACTGTCCTGAAAAACAGAAAATAATGAGTATTTTCGTTATTACAGCAAGACCCGAAATTTCATTTGCGGCATCCGCGGTCTAAGTTTAGAAAGCTATGCATGTTGGAACTTTGCCAAAGTGACTTGGTCACGGCGCGCAAGCGACGATACCCGTCCAAATTTGGCATCAAACAGTTATCTCAAGTTACAGTATTCCAAAATACCTTAAACTCTACAATTATGGACAATTTCTTTCGTTAAAACTAATTTTGAATACGTGTGATTCCTTCCAATTTATAATAACCACCATATCGGAACAGCGGTAATGTCATTAAAATTAGTTTATCTACAATAATTATCTGACGTGGTCATAATCTTCAACAAAATATTCAGTTCTATATTTGTCCAACATTTATTTAAAATATATGCTGCAAGTAATAAAACTCCTAAACAATATATCTTGATGACGCAAACGAGAGATAGTTTAAATTTAGACTTGGGGAGAATTGGATATTTTAAATCAGGTATGAAGCTAGAAATACTTAGACTAGCGCCTATCACAATAAATTGGTCATAATTTCACTTATTTTTTATCTAATCTATAAATTTCCTTCAGGAGATTTGAGATTACATTGAAAGCCTTATATTAAAATGCTATCTAAATTGTTACGAGTGAGATGAAGTTGAGGATAATTAACTAAGGTCCGATACAACTATTACTCATATTTTCCAATATACAGACACAAAACAAATTATCACTTATTCCCCGAAAGACACCTCACTATGAAGCACTATCACCGGTGATATGCTCACATTTGTTTAATTAGTGAAAATAAGTTAATTTTTATCACGTACCTGGATGCGTCAGATGTCGAAGATGACTAGTCAACAAGAGTCGAAGTTGCTGACTGTGAGGGAACTGAATGCCAAAAAAGTTTACCAAGTATCCTGCCCCTTCCCGTACGTTTCCCTACTCAAGCATCTAGCCATATAGGAATAGAGTTACCTCGTTCTCAAAATAGATCGACGTTAGTTGGTAATTATAACATTTAGTAAATATATATTGTACATGTAGATATACATGTGTCCATTTTGATCGTCAGTTTGCATGGACTACAGGAAACAAATTATCGAATTCGGAAAATAAAAGAACTCCGCTAGATTCTTTCAAATTTTGGATTTTGGTAGTTTTCGACGTGTAGATCAAAAGTCTCAATGGACCCTAAGTCGTAAAAACTCATCATTATCATATAGTCGTCAGTCTTAAGACTGATTGGACACGCATCTCCACTCTTTCCCATCCTGAGTTAATCTTCGCATTTCCCCAAAAGTAGAACGACCCGCATCCTTAACAACTTGCGAATAGTAATCTAATCTAAGTCTACCTCGATCCCTCCTAACTCCTGTTTCTGTCTCTAATATGTCTCTGACTAGACCTTCATGCCTGAGAAGGTGTCCTACCAACCTATGTCGCCTATTTCTTATTTACTTCCATAGAGTCCTCTGTTCTCCTATTCTTTCTAATACCTCTTCATTTCTAACCTTTTCTACCCATGTTATCCTCATAATCCTCCTATAACACCACATTTCGAACGCTTCTAACCTTTTCTTCTTTTCCGTAGCGCCCACCGTCAATGTTTCGCACCTGTACAGCGCCGCACTCCAAACATACACCTTCTGTCCTGACTTATCTGACTTCTTAGATACCTATAATCAGCCACTTCTTCTAATTTTTCGCCTCCTATCTTTATATTCGCTGTTTCCCTACTTTTTCTTCCCTTGCTTACCAGTATTTTAGTTTTACTTTTGTTTATTTTCATACAGTACTGTTTTGTCAATACCGCTTCCATTTTATTTAAAGCTATCTCTAAGTCCTCCTTGCTAGATGCTAAAACTGCTATATCATCTGCAAATCTAAGCATACTAATCTTTTGCCCCTGTATATTTATCCCTCCAGTTGCACTGTCTTTAATGATGTTATCGCGTCTTCGATGTATAGATTAAAAAGTAGCAGTGACAGTGTGCGTCCCTGTCTGACTCCCTTCCTAATATTTACTTCTCTACGTTGCAGCTCCAGCTCTATAACTGCCTGTTGCTCTTTATACAAACTAAGTATCACTCTTCTATCTTTGTAATTCATCCCTAAATTTTTAAGTATATTTAACATCTTGTCCCATTTAACATTGACAAAAGCGTTATCTAATATACGAATCTTATGTATATACTTTTTCTTTTTCTATATTTTTCTCTATTACTACCCGTAAAGGTAGAGTGGCCTTCCGCGTTTCTCTATTCCTTCTAAACCCAAATTGATCTTCTCCTAATAGTGCTTTTCGAGATACGGTCCTAAATCAAATAAAATACATTTTTTCTTAAGAATGAAGAGTAGTCAAAGTTCAGATTAGATTAAGTTTATGAGTAACATAAGTCCAGTTCTCTAAATACTGATAAAATAGTTAATTCTCTTTGATATTCATTTCTTCCTTTTATTATTTTAATCCGAAATGGATCAGATTTACATTTTTAAAAACTGCATTAAACGTTTCGCCTCTCAATACCAGAAATCTTGAAGGTTGTTTTCATTAGTTAAGTGGTGTTTGATGTGAGTAATATTTATTTATGGAAACCTATCAGTTAATAAGTAATTGCTGGTGTACAACAACATAAAGAATCTCAATGATAAATAAATGGTGGAGGCGCCAGGCAACCAAACATTTGGTCCTTTAGATTGCGTAAAAAGGATTTAGTTATTGATTATAAGACTGTTTATTATCAGAAATAGCATAAAATAGATTCAAAATTTGAATAACACAGTAAGATAATTTCTACATTGAACTGCAGAAAACTTTCAGGAAATGCTATCAGATGGCGGTAGCACCATTCTTATGGAAATAAACTCGAGTTTCCTTTAGAATGGAAAAGCATTTCGTACAATACCTTCTAATGTATAAACTATTTATGTTTACAATTCGATAATTACAACGTTTAATAAGTTGCAAGTAGATACCTTAAGCAAAAAATTAAGGACTAAGGCATTTTTCTGATGTAGCTATAATTTTGAGAGTAATTAAAAACATTTTACATTATTTTGACAGATATTTATTCAGGAATAATTTAGCTTATCAAAATCACCCGATTGGATTCAGTTTCAGGATTCAGGATTATAAAGAAACCATTTCACGTAATCATGTTAGACGCTCTGAAAATATACAATAAGAAAAACAATTCATTATTCATTTTTTCTTGTTGTTGACGAAATATCCATTTATTTTTAGTAACTTTTAAGGATTCGCACATTTTAATTTTATTTTAGCGTTTTGATTTTGTTATCTAACGTCATTTCATTTTCGGAAAATTCAAAAATCAAATTATATTCCGGGTGCCGCATTCATGAAAGTTCATTGAAGCCTTCTGGTATATTTGGGGAGTGCAGATATCCACAAATAGCTGACCTATATATTCAGAATCCGTGACTACGGTATGACGTCATTACCGTTTCCATGCCAACATTTTAACGGCAGTGTTTAACACCTCCCGATCCCTGCTCCAAAGATTCCTCCAAGACGGGATATTTCTAACAAAAATAATACAAAACAACAACAAACATTATATTATTACGTATACGAACTCATACAATACAGATTATCCATAGAAATGCTTGGATTTTATCAAGGATAAGACAGGACCAGGAGGTTCCTTCCGTTTTCTACCAAAGATAATTAGTATTTTTTTCATCAAAAACTTATCTTGATTTCTTACACTAAATCTGCATTTCTCTTTATTCCTTTATTTTTGATAGTGATAACTACTAAGACTGGACCTGAAAAATACATAAATTTTTTATATTGAATAAAGAATTATGAAGATATTTAATGATTTCCATAAAAGAAAAACAAAGTGCGCGAGACAAATTTGATGATGAGATGCCGCAAATGATTGTGCTGAATTTTCTCTCAATTGAAATTTCCTGTGTTACACATATATTGAAAGTGTAATCGGGTTTGGCCGAAAACGCACTCAGAACAAGTCTTGGGCTAGGCCAAAAGCTGGTTTATCTCAAGTAGTTTGGCCTAAGTAAAACCAGTTTATCCTGTACACTGATGCAGTTGAAATTTTGTAATAATATCTAAGCGTTTTCGTAACTGTTTTCGCAAATACTTCTCTGATAAATAGATAGATAGATAGAAGAGACAAATATGTATTTGAAGAATCGGGAATTAGCTATTGTTCATGTTAACAGCGATAATAGAATGTGGAAAGTAATAAGGCTTTGAAATTCCAAAGTTCATTCAGTTTAACCCCTTCTCCAGCCCTGTCATTGTATGCGTTTGTTGCAGAAACGTGATCTATGACATTTAAAATTCGATTGGGTTCATACGGCATGCAACGGGGAAATATAACATAATAATGAAAACCGGTTGATAATAATCGCTATCAAATGTTTATTAGTTTATTTTGCTGGCTAGTTAAAAGCTCGTCGTATTACATATATATATATATGTACATACATACATACATACATGTATTATAGACCAATTCTGAATCTAACCAAGCCGATATTTTAGAATGAAATTGTCCTACATTTCCAATTACGTCAGCATGAAGTCATACATAAAAGCTGGTGGGGAGCAAGTAGGTCAAATAGGGTGCGATGCCCTGGCCTCCAGGACGTTGCATTATTTCATTCTGGATTTCGGTCCAGCTCTGCAAGCAGTCAATTCAAAAGTATGAAAGGTTACCCCACCACTTTATCACCAAACGTTACAACAAGAAAATAACTATCCTTTTTAACACCCTCCGATTCACTATTATAAATACGCTAGATACAAAAAAATCAATATTTCTCATTTAGCCTTTTGAACAAAAATACAGTAACTCGAATGATGTTAATCATAATTTTAAAAACAAAACTGGTTTAACGCTGAATCAGGAAAAATTGAATCCTTGTGAAGGATATAAGGGACTAGCGCTTTTAATAAAAAGAAATATCACTTTTGTGCTGTAAATTAGAAATTCGAAAGCGAGTATTAAAGGTATACGTTTGGAGCAGGGCTCTGTACGGGTGTAAAGTTGACGCGGCGATGCCGAATTCCCTCCCGCAGGTAGTTTTGGTTAAAATATGGATAGCCGAGTACCCTCCCGTTCGTATCAGCTCCGATAATTAAGTTAACGACTACTTACCGATTTTATTTATCGAAAATAAATATATATTTATAGTGCGCTTCAGTACTTCAGTAAATTAAAGATAAAATAATTTCAGAAAGAAAACACATATCAGTTATGAAATGTTTATTTATTTAATTTTAAAATGGTTTCCCACTACCTTAACAAATTCAATGTTTGGAAATTCGTGTGCGTCCAGCTTTTTGATGCAATCATCTAGAAAAACTTTATTAGTTTTAAATTGTCTTGTTAACATTTTTTTTAAATTAAATTTGGTTTAAACGAAGCGAAATCATGTGCAAAGCAATCATGATGTGGATTATCAGATGAATAATATTAAGATTAATATGTGATGTGAGGCTGTATTATTTAAACAACTATTTATGCCTTTATAGTGGCAATTAGCAGTCAAGGTCATCCGCCGCAGTTGGGAGGCAATTGGGAGGGAATTCGACATACCGAAAATTCTAACCCTAATTAAAGACAGGTATATGGGAGGGAACTGGGCATTATCCAGTTGACGGTGAGCGCTGAGGAAAAGATAAAATTAAAAGTTTTTGAAATGTGGTGTTGTAGGAAGATATTAACAATACCTTGAAAAGAAAAGGTTGCAAATGAGGAGCTTTTACTCCTCCTACGAGACACACAGGGCGTTATAGAAGTTAATAAGAAACAAAAGACAGACATGGAGGGTTAGTGAAAGACATATTAGAATGAAAAACAGGAGTTAAGAGGGGCAGAGGTAGACGTAGGTTAGATTACTGTTCCCAAACAGTTAGAGATGCAAATTTTCGAAAAAT